TATTATATTGACGTATATGTTTTTTTTAAATTGTATTATATTGAGTATTGACTTGTAATTTTTTCTAAATTGTATTATATTGACGTATATGTTTTTTTTAAATTTTATTATATTGACGTATATGTTTTTTTTAAATTGTATTATATTGACGTATAGGTTTTTTTTAAATTGTATTATATTGACGTATATGTTTTTTTTTTAATTATCTTATATATTATATTATATTATTTATTTATGGTGCCTTTGAAAAATATCGAATGATATCGTCGCCGTCACCGATTGTCTTATTACGAAATATTTTAATAAATTTATATTGTTTATATTATATAAGTATTAAATACGAATACTGTCTTATTTAATTTATTATGTAAGCAATAAAAAAATTGAATTAATAATATATTTTTTCTATTTGTTTGAATTGATATCCCAATCTGATTACTAATGAAAATACGTATTGTATTATCGATTGCGAAAAACGCGAAGCTTTTATGACTCTCTGTATACACGGCAGCAGCACCGGCGCCGACGATCGACGACGATCGACGATGATTATCTTCCAATCACAGAACGCATAGCCATCGCCTTGGGGGTCAGACGATAAACGGCGGCTCAGTCTGTGTGCGCGAAAGCGGTTCATTCTTAGATGGAATAGAGTTTAACATCATATCCCTCGATGTCATAAGAGTGGTAGTACTGTGTTTTTGAACTACAGACGAAAAACAATAAACTGATACACCCGCGTTTATTGTGTAGACGTGTAGTGTTGATATTAATATCACGTTTTGACGTTTTGTTGACATTCACTTGCCTAAAAAAAAATAACCAACAGTTTTTTTTATTTTTTTTTTTAATCTGTTTAAAAAAACTCGCAGTTAAATTTGCTGCCCCCAAAAAAGTGCTGTCCGGGGCAACTGCCCCCCTTGCCCTCCCTAAATACGCCACTGAGAAACATTAGAAACAAATATTTTGGACAGAACAAAAATAATAATAGAAACCATCAACCAATAAAGTGTCGTATACGCCACGCAAAGGCTTGACGTCTATAACAGATATCTTTCGGTTTCCGATTCTCTAACCGTCAAACAAGTAAATTATCGATACCTGCTATATGAACTTTATTTAAATTATTCTTTTGGTGACCACGATGACGAGTACTGCACAAAAGATAATTAAACGAGGTCCAAACAGGTTTTACACAATACAACTCTAAAGTTACTTTACTCTCTAACAACTGACCACGATAACGAGTACTGGATGTTTGAGAGTGAGATATCTTTAACCTAGGCAAAGTCTTACTCTTTTTCGACTGACCACGATAACGAGTACTGGATGTTTGAGAGTGAGATATCTTTAACCTAGGCAAAGTCTTACTCTTTTTCGACTGACCACGATAACGAGTACTGGACGAGAAAGTAAGTATTACAGTGTCTTACTATCTTTTTCAAAAGTGTTTTCCACCACCAACGTCTCTTTACACACAAGATAAAATACTCTAAAATGGTCGTAAAGAAAAAACAGTAACACTTGGTTAAAAGAATTAAATATAATATATAAAAGAATATCAAAAACAAATAATAAAAAGAAACGTCAAATACTGCTGGTTAGCCACGACAATGCGTGAACCCAAAAACTGAACAGCCCCGCTCCCGTCGCAGACGTCGCCTTATGTAGTGGTAGCAATTTTGCTGATTCGGCTTGATTAAATTTTGCATCATTGTTTTGATTTTTTATAATTTTGTTTTGTATATGTACAACAAAAGTTATCCGTCGACCGGCGACCATCTACCCCACTACCATAATTAATTATACTGCATTATTACTGTCCATCTATTATGTTATCAACAATGCAACATAGTGTCCATAAATAGCTATTGATTCCTATACTCTATAGATTGTGATACAACACTATCTTGCGGGTGACCGCACACTGGTAAAGCAAAATTGACTGAAGAAATGTGAGTCATATTTAGTCATTTTGCTTTTAGTCATAATAAAGCATTGTTGTCGCACACTAGATAAAACATAGTTAGTCAAATCAATGTATATCAAGTAGTCGTCAAAATGTCGTCCGACGAGGAGGACGTTGCTATTCCTATTTTATGGTTTCTTTTAAGAGAAATTGAAAAGGAAGAAAATAAAAAAAAACTTTAGGTTCATCCTTTGAACTTGAAACGAACTGAAAATAATACAATTAAATGTTTTATTCATGAACTTCGAAATGACGAATGTAAATTTAGAAATTTTACACGAATGAGTACCGAAACGTTTGATTATATTCTAGAAATACTTAACGATGAAATTCGAAAACCTGATACTAATTTCAGAAAAAGTATCACTCCAGAAGAGAAATTATTGGTGACATTGAGGTAAGTTAATAATAAATTCTAAATAATTAGATATTAGATTCTGAGCGGAGCATAGCAAAATAATGTATTGATTTTACAATGATGTGTTTTTAAAAAAAAATTTTCGTTTATCTTATAAAATGATTTATTATTGAATTAAAATATAACATATCCATTACAACGACATGCTTGACAGATATTGAACAGCAGAGCGGTACCCATTTGTTCAACTTTTTTTACATTTTAATTTTTTCGCTCCACTCAGAATTTAAAATAGCAGGTAGTATAAAAATAATTCTTTTAGACTTGCGAATTCTCTTGAACGTATCACTTTTTATTGTTATCATATTATTATAATAAAATGAGTTAACACTAATAAGGTTATACTTAATTATACTTAATTTTTAATAATACTAAAAATGATAATTTATTATAATGAAAAATAAAAAACTGTATAAATGAAAAACTGTATTAATGCAAAATATAAGAACTTGAACTATCCGACGAGGAGAAATCTGGAGAACTCGCAATGTACTGAATTGCATTAAATTGCTGCGGTTGATGATTTGCATTTAACTGCTGATCTGGTGATAAATTAGGTATAATATTAGAATGTGGTGCATTATTGTATCTTGGCTGTCGAGAAGCTGATCAATGGTATTTAATACAATTTTTTTGAATTGACGTTGATTTTTATCATTTAATTTTAAAAAATCCGGAATAATACTTTAAAAAAAAGAAAGTTCAGGTGTATCCTCATTATTTTTTTTTGGTTGAGTTCTTGTCTTTAGAAATTCCAACATCGGTTCCACCACTCTTTCACTGGGTAACATTTTTCGATTTATTCTTGGTTTTTTAAATAATGGTTCATTACTAAATTTTTCATTTTTTGCATCTTCGGTAACTATTGTTTGTGAAACCACTTCTTGTTCAACTGTTTCTAAATTTTGTTCAGTATCTGACCCTATTGGTTCTTCAACGAAACTATCGTTTTCTAAGTTATCTATATGGGAACTATTAATATTGCTTTCCATTTTTTTGTGTTGCAACACGTAATCAGAGAGAAACAACATATTATCAAATAAATACCATTTTCTTTTTCTTGATGATGCTCCGGACCCAGATGGCAATTTTTTTTGTTCACGCAGCTGTCTTGAAAATGAATTTCGAAGCGTGGTCCATTTTGCCTTGCATTCATTAGCTGTAATTAATAAATAAATTGGATACTAATTACAATACAAATTTGTATTTATATTTTGAATTTATATTTTGTTTTATTTAATTTTTTTTATGTTTTTAGTTATTTGGCAACGGGAGAGCGATTTCAACGTCTTCATTACCAATTTCGTCTAGGTGCTACGACAATAGGATTGATAACTAATGAAGTATGTACTGCTATATGGAAATTATTATCACCCATTTATTTGCCAACGCCTAGAGAAGAAGACTGGATTACAATTTCAAATGAGTTCAATAAAATTTGGAATTTCCCTAATGGCACAGGAGCAATTGATGGTAAGCACATTGCTATTCAATGTCCACCATGTGCTGGTTCCGAGTATTTTAATTATAAAGGGTTTCACTCAATTGTGCTTCAAGCAGTGGTTGATGCTCACGCAAAATTTATAACAATCGATGTCGGGGATTATGGCCGGTCCAGTGACAGCGGAATATTTAAAGAATCTAATTTTGGTAAAATGTTACTACACAATGAATTAAATTTGCCACCACCAAGAAAAATTCATAATGACATCAATGAAGAATATCCTTTTGTGTTTGTTGGGGATGAAGCATACCCTTTATTACCATGCCTGATGAGACCTTTTCCGCGTAGGAACTTAACAAACGAAAAACGTATTTTTAACTATCGACAGTCGCGGGCAAGACGAATTACTATTATAATTATTATTATAGTAGAATGCGCATTCGGAATTATGGTTAAGAAATTTAAAGTGTTGGAAAACAAAATTGTGGTTGGCCCAGAAAAAGCTACCCAAATCGTAAAAGCTATTTGTGTATTACATAACTTAATTATGACGAGAGAGCAACATTGTATTGATATTCAAGAACTTATAAATTCTCAAGAGCAGAATGAAATAATTGAACAAGATATCAGTAGAATTAGATCTTCTAATAATAGATCTTCCACAGCAGCAATATCACTTCGAAATAAATTTACAGAATATTTTAATTCAAATAAAGGTTCTGTATCCTGGCAAAATAAATACACTGTATTATAAAATTATTAAATAATAAAGAATTGATCAATTAATAACTATTTTAATACCTACTTTATTATTATATTATTATTACTATCGTGATTTATGTAGAGTAGAAAATAAAAATATAACAAAAATAAAATCATAAAATAAATGAAATAATAGCATAATATTATAATAAAAATATAAAAACCTGGTATTTTTAGAATATCCGATATTTCTGTCCATAATTGTTCCTGTATGTTTCTGTTGCTATAATTTTTGTTTTTGTAATCATAAAGAGACTGCCGTTCTTGGACTAATGATATTAAATTTTCGAGGTTCATTTCATGCTCAATCGACATTTTATAATCCTATCGAATAAAAGAATGTGCAATCATAGATATTAAAGAATTCTGCAATGCAATGTGACACTTATCATTTTTTGAATTTCCACTGCTCGAAAAACTTTATGTGGAAATCCCAGATTAAAGTAAGTAAAATAATGCTTCAAATAAGTTTTTTAAGTTGCTTAAACATATTTTGAACTATTATATTATAGTTAAAATATTTAGTTTGTACAAATGTTATAGATATTTATATTTTTTTTCACAAATTATTACTTAAAAATAAAAACAAAAAATAAAATAAATATTTTCAATGCAAAATTACGTATTTCAGTACTTATAGATAAAGTGTATAATGTATAATTACCTTTATATTGTAGACAATTTAGCATAAATGAATACAATTTGGCATAATTTTGATATAATTATCCAGTGACTGCTTGACAATGACTAATGAAAATAGCGCAAGTTCTATTTCAATAAAACAATATTAGTCATGACTGAAGGCAAAAATGTTTTGTTTTGACTACGCTTTATCAGTGTGCGTGTATTCCATAAAATATAAAAGGTTTTATTTTTGATTAGTCATAATAAAGCGACTTTAGTCGCTTTAAAGCAGTTTTGCTTTACCAGTGTGCGGTCACCCTTAGAAAATCAACTGCGCCTTCACTAATATAATTAGCCAGCTATTATACTAATAGACTGTGGTCTGTGACATTATATAAAACTGCTTAACTGTGTTTGTTTTATGTATTATTTAGAGTTAAATTGTCTAGTTGTGATTTGTGAAGTAAGTTACTTTATAGTTTCTACTAAAAATATTTAAATATGAGTTATATTGATAAATGTGATTGCGGTAAATTAAGTTCTTCAATGAATGATTTAAATTGGAGTAGACATGTTAACTCATGTAAAGTACAACAATTTAATAGAAACTCACATGACATAAAATCTTTTTTTTCTGGAAGCAATAAAAAAAGCAAATTGACTAACCAAATTACTGATGCAAAAAATAGTAAGTACTTACTTCATTTATATAATTGTTTTATTTTCTTTTAAAATAAAACTACAGATATTAAATAAATAATTTTATCTAAATAAATAGGTAGGTATTATCGTAAATAATAAATATAAATCTTAATAATATATTAATATGAGTAATTTATTATTAGTTATGTATGTCTATCGGCTATCTCATACTGCTTATTGTACTATTACATATCTCTTGTCTTATTAGTTTTTACATTAATTTATCCCACAACTGTGAATTTGGAATATAAAATACTTAGTAAAAAAAGAGTAATAAAAATAAATAAAAAAATATGTTAGTTAATAAAGAAAGCTCTGATGAAAATTATTTTCAAAAATATACTTTATTTAATTAATTTTTTGCAAATTATAATATTACCTTTGTATAGGTAACGCATTTTTAAGTAGGTTTTTTTGTATGTGTACTTAAATTTGTATACCTACTTGGCTACTTATAAACCTATATGATAGGTACATGCAGAGTGTTTTTATGATCAATTTCCTTATTGGATATACAGCTGCGAATATCTTTGGTTTAATACATATTTTTAACTCTTATTGATTTAAATAAAGAACTAGTACATAAAGAATCTTCGATTGAACATGTCGAATGTGAACTTCAACAAGATACTGAGATAAACACATGTTTAGAAAATAAAGGTATGTACTTATATTATTGGCCCTTTTTTAAGTATCTAATTATTTATTTATATATTTGGAATTTGGAATTTTCTGCATCTTTGCCTATTATCAGTTTTATAATAGGTTAAAGGTATATATGTAACCTTCAGATAATCTCATAGTATTAGTAACTCTTTTATAATATTAATCATTATGTGTATACGAGTATTGCTTCCTCTATATACTGTATTTTTCTATCATAGTATCATAAAAATTGCTACTTGTAATGTTGGGTAAGTGTAACACCCACTTAGGTAAAATATTCATATTTTTGTGAGTTATATTGGGCTCATTACCTATAATTAATTAAGACATAATATTGATACTTTATTTTATTTGATAGATCATTAGAATAACCAAGTCCTAAGTATAATTTTTATAGTACCATAAAACTATTTACTTAGTAGTTAGTATAATTTTTTAACTGTCAACTTATATTGTAGATGATATGGATATGGATATAATGAAAAATGATCCTGCAGTTTTTGCTAATATGTCTTTTTTTTGTCACCGGAAATTAAAGATTACATCTTCAAATTTGGCCCTTGTCAACCGTTACAAAATAATTTTCCTAATAAAATATTTCCATTTGATATTAACAAAGAAAAAATAAAGAGAAGCTTTAATGATAAACATTATTACAGAATTTTACCTGACAAATCAAAATGCCATCGTGATTGGTTGTCCTATTCATTAAGCAAAAATAAAATTTTTTTTATACATTGCATGCTTTTTGGAACCAATTCGCATAGTAATTTAGAAAAATCTTGGACCAAAGAAGGATTTAATAAATGGAAAAATTGTTCATTTGCTGTTCAAAGACATGAGTTAACTCCAGATCATGTAACATCATCTTTAAAATTTAAGTTACATCAAAAGAATTTACCAATTTTACCTTCAATTGAAAGTAATAGAAAAACTCAGATAGCAATGAATAGAAACGTTTTATTAGAGCTTATAGACATTGTTATGTACACGGGACGTCATAATCTGGCATTTCGTGGGCATTGTGAGGATTGATCTTCAAATTCCAGAGGTAATTTTAAGGACTTAGTTATACTAATGTCTAAAAATCCAGGACCATTAGCGGAACACATAAACCGTATTCAACAAAATGGAAAACATGAAACATCTTTTGTCAAATCCAGCTGATTGAAGCTATTGCCGAAGATATTTCTTTTCAAGTACGGTCATTTATTAAAGCTGTAAGAATGTTTAGCATATCAATTGATACCACATTTTATGAATCTCGTAAGGAACAAATATCATTTATAATACCACAGATTAAATGAAACCAGATAAAGCACTCATGAAAGTCGGTAATATGTAAATAAATTTTTGTACTTCTCAAATCAGTCTGGCTAGGAAAGGAAAAAATAAATTTACCATATTTCATGAAACTGGTCATATTGTACGCTATATGTTATCAAACATATTTCATGATAATGTTTTGTTTATGTGACATGACGCGTGTATGTTCTAGTTTATGTGTTTGTTTGGTCACGTGCTTAAAATTTAATTTTTATAAGTACTTGCAAAATTGTTGTTAACTTTTCATAACTATTTTATGATGGAAACAAAAAAATGGGAAATGGCTCGTCATGCGCAGTAAAATACTGCAACTATAAGTCGAGAACAGTTTTTGTTAATTATTTTACTATGCCAAAAAATACAGAAAGGTAAATAGCATTATATTGTATATTTTAATTTTAACTTAACTTACTAATTATTTTATTTTTTAGACGTTCCAAGTGGATAAAGCAATGTTCGCCTGAATATGTTGATAAAAATGCATTTGTTCAGAACCTGAGAATATGTAGTGAATATTTTGAAGACAAAATGTTCCTTAATGTTCAAAAAAAAAAACAGGCTGACTGATTTTGCAGTTCCAACATTATTCAGTGATGAGATATCATTAGATGTATCTTGGACCTCAATTCAATATTATCATTTAAAACATATATAGTTTAGATAGCTCACTGTCTAATATTTGGCTAAAATAGGTTAATTATTACTTATTAATGTATTAATTTAACTCTCACTAATTTTAGATGAAATTCTTGCTAAAAGAGAATCCGAGAGTGATTCAACAATGAATGAATGAAATGATCTATCACGACAAATGGCATGCTCAAGCCCAATTTCATGTCCTATTACAAGTGAGTTAATATGATAATGAATTAAAGATTTCTGAGAACAGAGCTAATGTAAGCTCCTCGTTCTAGGTTATTTAGTCAATCATTTTTCTTTCATAAATATGTTATTAATTTGTATTTTTTTTATTTTTAGGCTCATCTTTAATTAATACCTCTGACTCTTCTTCTCAGACTCCAGATCATTTGTCATATTATACACCCAGGAACATTTTGTTGAGATCGGAATTGAAAGAAGCAAAGGAAAAAATTAAGAAAGGAGCATAAATGAACCTTGCTACGTTTCTGATAATATGACTCATTGTATTAGGTAGTTAAAAATAAAAACACCAAAGGATGGTAATTATGTAAAAAAAATAAAAATAATAAATTCAATGAAATATTTATTTTTAACTTTTATTACCAGTGGCATGCTTAGAATTAATGTCCATATCAATGAATTGTTAAGAGGATGCTACACTTTCACTGTTATGTTTAATATTATAAAATTTTCAAGTAACAATATACCCTAGTGAATCTCATTGGTTTTGTTACAAGTCGGTTAACCGTAGCCTCGTACTAGTAGAGTTTGAAAAATAGACTTACACACGTCTTTTCAGTTATAAAGTTTTATTGCGTTGAACTTGTACAGGCAATGATACTGTCCATTCTCCACTCCCTGTCTTACAATCTTAATGTTCCTTATATCTAAACTTATATAGGACAACCCCTCCTATACAAAAAGTGCTTACTCGCAGTTTCGGGATTGTACCTGTTTACACTAATTTACAATAATCATTTCATTTCGTAATTCTAAATGTTTTATAAATACTACATTTCTAATTTGTTTATTAACTGCTACATCCTTACTCACTTTCTATGTTTAATAATACCAATTCATAACAGTTTTTTTTAATAAAATTTCAATTTTAAAGCTAGTTATATATTGCGTGTACATTTTAAAATAAGTATAACTCCCATTTAACCAATGAATCACTCAGAATGTATATTTTTCTATGTTATGTGTTTTTAAGACGAAGACAACGCATGCTAGTTAAAAATATACCACTTCAAATTAAATTTACATAATTATTAATGAATAACCCTTGATTTTATTTTCATTATAACTGCATTTGAATTAATTAATATAGGTATATATTATATAGTAAATATATTATGAGTAAAAAATCATACTCATTTTTAATTAGGTAGGTGTAAGGTAGGTTATCGCCTATAAGTACAATTAATATATCTACTCAAAAGTTAAAACCACGTTTAAAACTAAAACTGTATCATAGTTTGTCAAAGCAAAGTGTTATTTTAGCATCGTTCTAATAAAATCAATAGGTAAAAACAATTTTCTATAGATACCTACCTACATGAATTTCTTTAACAATTAGAATCCTTATTAGTACTAATACCATGCATTTTAAATACATGATAATATTTAATTATTATTCAATTCTTATCTAGCACTCGCTGCTAGAGGTTGCTCGTTCGTAGTGCGTTAAATATCGTTAAAATCTTTTGTCGTATTTGTGCCATTGTTATCTTTATTATTTTTATATCGTACCATGCCTTGCGGTAAGTGTTATACTAATATTTTCCCAGCTAAATCGGTGATCTGTACAAACTGTTGTTCAACTTTCCATCCAAATTGTACAAAACTAAAAACATTTACAAACTATTAGGCTGTCAAAGAAAGTTGGATTTGCGATCCCTGTAATGAAAAAATGAAAAAAAATGTATCACGTAAGACTTTAGAAAACGAATTTCAAAAGTCACTGCGACCTGCGACGACATGTACGACCTTGTCTCGGTTAAAACAGACTTGAAGTTAGTGTTCAAAAGAATTGAATCTCTCTCAGACAATATGAAGACTTTCGAAAAATCAATAACTTTCTGTTCTGATTCAATTGATGAATTTGGGTCTAAATTAGAAAGTGTTATAAGCAAAATCTCTGAAATGGAAAATAAAGTGCAAACTTATGAATTACGTTGTAATAAATTGGAGAACGAATTAAATATTCTAAAAGCGACAGTTAATAGTACTGAACAATTGACCTTAGCCAATAATATAGAAATTAGTGGAATTCCTAAAACACCTAATGAAAATATTTCTGAAATAGTTAATACTGTAACTCTAGTGTTGAACTGTCAGTTAAATAGAGACGACTTTATTGATTCCTTTAGGAATAAATCTCGTCAAAATAATGATGGAAGAATAGTACAATTCAACTCAAAAGCTACTACTAACTAAAAAATAATAAATAAAAAAAAAAAAAACATAAACAGATATAAAAATAAATTATAATAATAGATAATTAATGGATATAGAAATTCAATCACTTTATAAAATAACAAATGAACGACGAAACTACCGACTCGGGAAAATCTAATGATAATGTAAATACACCTATACTCTCTTCAAAAGATATCAATAAATTACTACAACCTCAATTAACACGTTGGCTACCACGAGGGTGCTCAGGTTCTCTCATCGTTCCTGCTTTAGCGTACCATGATAATTTTTAAATATTTACATGAATATACCAAATCAATAACTCATTAATTATTGATGATACAAAAAAATGCCTCAGATGAAAAATAATTTATTTTGTATGCCTACTAATTATCTATCAATAAAAGAACCCAGGTACTCTCATGGTACACAAATGATACAATTGTGTATAGGGAACATTGAGAGAACCCAGGCCCTCTCAGTATATATTATTTTCTTAAAATTTAGGTTATAGATTGATTATTGCTCCATGAACATTTGTTTTCTAATTTTTCTAATATTTATTTATCATTATCGTATGCACGTGATAACTGTCATTGTGTGATATCATAATAATATTATCACCAGATCGCCTTATCATTGCAATAATTAATAATTATGCTAACAAAAAATAAATACCTAATTAGTAATTGAACATAATTTCAAACCAAAACGTAATTTTTTAAACTTACACCATGAACTCAGATGATATTTTAGATGCTTTAAATGACTCAGATTTCGATTACGATTCTGGCAGTGAGTATATACCAACTAGCTAAGACGAACATTCTGATAGTTCAGATACTGATGTAGATCCTAGTACGAATACTCTAGTTTTAAATAGTTCCCAAGATTCTATTTCTAATGACATTTTTCCAAATATTCAGGAATGGGATACTGTAACAAGTATATTACTTTTGAAAAATTATTGATATATTATATCTAATATTCACTTTCATTTTTAGGATTCAATCAAAGTACTTTTGACTTTATTGATAATAGACAGTTGTTATGTGATTTGGGGCCAGAATGTGAACCGATTGATGTTTACAATTGTTTTCTTTGTGATGATATTATACAAATTATTGTTATTGAAACAAATAGGCAAGCATTAAAGTATAAATGGAACTGGACTAATACAAATGAAGTAGAAATCAAAAATTTTTTGGCCATAGTAATGTACACAGGACTTGTATCTTACCCTAAGATATCTGATTATTGGAGTCGGCAACCATTGTTTTACAATACATTTATTCCTAAAATCATGCCTAGAAATAGGTTTCAAGAACTACTTAGATTTTTCCATGTTGCTGACAATGACACTATAGTTCATGGTGATAGGCTGGGAAAAATACAACCTTTGGTTGTAAAATTAGTCAATAATTTTAAAAAGTATAAGGTACCTGGTGAAAATGTTGTCATTGATGAGACAATGATACCCTTTAGAGGGCGACTTAGTTTTAGACAGTACATACCTAGTAAATCAGCCAGGTATGGAGTAAAATTATTCAAAATCTGTGATAATATTGGCTATACCTATGATTTGATTATTTATAGTGGTAAAAATACAACACCTACAGGCAATGACTTAACTTGTGCCTCTAAAGTGGTGTTGCAACTTATGACTGATTATTTAAATAAAGGTAGAACTCTAATTATGGATAATTATTATACAAGTCTTAATTTAGCTCATATATTATTAAGTAAAGAAACTCACATGGTAGGCACTGTAAGAAAAAATTCTAAAGGATTTCCTAAAGATATAATGAACTCAAAATTGAAAAAAGGAGAAATCAAGGGTAAAGAAGATGGAAAGGGAGTAGTAGTCAGTATTTGGAAGGATAAGAGGGACGTGAGAATGGTATCCACTAGACATGGTATTGAAATGGTTGATACAGGAAAAATATCGAGAAATGGAGAGAAAGTTAAGAAACCTGAAGCAATTGTGTTCTATAATAAAAATAAACAGGGAATAGATGTGTCAGACCAAATGAACAGTTATTTCACACCTTTAAGAAAATCCATAAGATGGTACCATAAAGTGGCGTTTCAACTATTGCTTGGTACATCTGTAGTAAATGCATTAGTTATGTACAAAGAATTGACTGGGAAAAATATACAAATATCAGCCTTTAGACAGCAGATTATTGAAAAATTAATAAAAAAAAAAGATGAAATAAATATATCCCCATCATCTAGAAAACATAAATTGGTACAAACAAATGAAACACAAGGTCAAAGCAACAAAAAAAAAAGAAGAAGATGTGTTAGATGTTATGAAAAACTTGTAAATGAAAGAGGAAGGCAAGTTGCACAAAAAATTTGCAAGACCACAATAACATTTTGTGATTCTTGTGAAAATAAACCAGCTTTTTGCTTGGAATGTTTTCAAAATGCTCATAAATAATTGTTTTAATAATTCTTAAATATAATTAATTTTAAATTGTTTTTTTTTTTTTGAGATTATACTTAATTTTGAATAGTGAGTTACTATTAGAGACAGAAATTTTAAGTTTTTTTTATTCATGACATTTTAATTTTGTTTTGATATATTTTTTTTATTTTATTTGTTTTATTTTTTAATGTAATCAAAGACTGATGCATCAATGAATTTTAAAAAATACATAAGGCTGTTCAAATTAATAAAATTGTTTAAATTCTGCGTGAATAATATTTGTTTTATAAAATATCAAATAACATATTTTTTGAGAGAACCCAAGGACTCCCACAGTTACCACAGGTAGATAGCGTATTATTAATGACGATTTAACTCTATTTAGTACAATTTTATAAAAGTAGATGGCGTAAATGTTGCATCAAACACAAGATGTACCGAGAGAACTCGGGTGCCCTCACGGTACACAATAAGACACCTGGTGAGAGAACTCGAGTACCCTCATGGTACAGAAGGACAGTTTTTGAAAAGAAGGCTTGGTAGTCAACGTGTTAATAATTGAACTCACTAAACGAAACCTAATCACCACGGGCACAGTTCCCAATTTAAAAAATAGACTAACACAATATCTTAACGGAGAAACAACACCAAACGATTTTATCAGTCATCGACTTTTAACACAAACAGAATGGACAGCACAAAAAAACCATATTGGCCCCGACGAAATTCGTTGCATTATCTGAGTAGATTACAATGCTTTTTCCCCGACGGTCAAAAAATCTATTTAATGCGCGGATAAAGGCGTCGGTGCTCAGGTCACTGACGAGCTCGAGATGTATAGCTCGCGTAGCTAAACAAATAAAAACACTTACATAAGACTTCACTTTCGGGGCATTTCTTCGAGAACTAGTTTTAACCATAAAGGGCCCGGCGAAGTCCACTCCACATCTTAGAAACGCGCGGCCCGGAGATACTCGATGTTTAGGCAGATCACCCATTATCGGTTGCATTATAATAGGTTTTTGTTTAAAACAAATAACGCATTTGTTTACTATATTTCGTGCTAAATTTCGGCCGTTAATTGGCCAGTAGTTCATGCGTACCGACGATAACATGGCTTGTGGACCTCCGTGCATTAGTGTTACGTGCTCGTTACATAACAACAATTTCGTGAAATTACTATTTGATGGTAACACTATAGGGTTACGCTGGAAAATTGAAATTGATGCTGCATGTTTTAATCGTCCACCCACGCATATTATATTATTCTTATCCAAGAACGGTCGCAGACGAAATAACTTACTCTTACTTGATATTGCCTCTCCGTTAAGCATAGATTTTATCTCATTGGCGAACTCATCTCTTTGAACAACTTTAATTAATGACGTTTTTGCTATTTTTATTTCATCAGCACTTAAATTACCGATTCGTCGGCACCGATCGCCTGTTTTGTTTATTTTACGTGAGCAATTAGTTTTAAATCGTAAACAATATGCTACGACTCTTAACAATTTACCAAAAGACGAATAACGATTTATGATATTTATATCACTTGCCGTAGTGCATAGAGCGCTTATCGCATTTATTTTTATTTCTGCGCTCTCCTCGTTACAATCTAATGAGTGGTTCACCGTATCAGGCCACTCGTTTTCGTGTCGTGACAACCAACTTGGCCCGTTCTTTTTCCCTACTTTATCATAAAATTAAACGCTGTTATTAAAAAATAACACAATCGTTCCAAGTCACCCGGTTTGACGGTTTTTAAAACTTACTGTAATATTATTGGTACTATGCGCATATAAATATATAATTTTGTTTAAACATATTTTGTAATTTGTATTTATTTATTCAGAATAAATATATCTTGTGTATCTTTTATTTTTTCATTTAAAATTTTTATACTTTGTATTTAAATAAAATATTAAAAGTATTTTATCCATCCCAAGTACTGCATTTGTAGGATAAATATTTTGAAAACTGTTGCCAGTTAGGATTCATCATATTCTCTTCTTTAGATCATACGAACGAATTTTTACAAATTTGGACTTGAACTTACCAAAACGGCATAATGTACCTAAACAATTAGTAATTACAATTAGTATTGAACAGTGAATTAAGTTTCATCGAGCAATAAATATATTCTCATACCCATTATATAGAGTTCCTTTCAAAATGTGCATTTCGATTCTCCTCAAATATTAAATACCTAGGTAATCAATTAAGTCTACATAAATCTGTAATAGATTTCTTTTCATAGTATTTATAAATTATAATAGACTTTTTGAAATAAATAATTTTTATTTTACTAAATGTAATCATCGTGCATCTTTTTTTACAAATTTAAATTTCTTAAAATATTAATTATTAATTAGTTTTAACTGTTTTAAGAGGACTTTACCCTGCACGCATTTGTTGTCTGCAGCTTACACACGTACGACATAGCAAATGTTCATTCATTAGTTTCAATACTTAACTATTAGTTTTGATATTAGAAATAAGAAGAAAGAATAGAATTCAGAATATTCTTAATTTGTAATATTCATAGGTACCCATATCTTGCTTGACAATTTATTTTAAAAATATTAATATAGTAAAATTATTACTATAATAATAGTGAATTACAGTTTTTATTACATATTAACATATTACACTGATTTTTGAAATATTTATCATTTAAATGTGTTTGTTAATTTATGAGAACCGATAGGCATAGGTTAATCTTTCAAATTTTAAATTTTAAAATACACCCAATTTTTGAAATATCTGTCGCAGTGTCACCCAACTCCAGAATAAGCTCATTTTTTAAGTTACCTACCAATTCATACCTAATAATTAATTTAACAGTGAACGGGCCAGCCCGGAAAATGTAATATTTAGCTACCCACAGTAGGTTATGATTAACACTTTGTTTACAATTTATTGAAACAATTAATAATATACAATCATTCACGTTTCAGCTTATAGATTCTCAGCAAAGCAATTTCTTTTGCCTGTTAATTAATATTTATTTTTAAGCCTTTTCTTTAGATTATAATAAATTAACTTAGGTATTAAACTTAAAATGTATCTACCTATTGGTTTTAAAATTAAATATTGTTTTATGATCTAATTACTGTAGGTATATTAGGTACCTATACCTTATCCAAGTTTACACTATAAGTATATAAGTCTTATATTCAACAATATACTTATATTAAAATCATATAAACTCGTGTTCGGACTTCGGGGAGGTGTACAAAATTGTACAGAATAAAGTAGGTACCTAGAAAAATTGTATTTGTTCAACATTCGGCAAAGGCGGTGCCGGAGTAACGTTACCACAGCCCGGACATGTAGTCCAGGCAAATTAGACTCATTTTTGACAAATAGCGGAAAAAAAAGCTGGAAAGCTGCATTTTGGTATACACCTTTATTGAAGGGTACTAAGTAACATACTAAAAGTCCCCTAAGATTTGATGACCGCTACCTCCGCTAGAGCGCGCTTTGTGCAAGAAAAATCAGTTTTTCTCAAATAACTCGGTTGTTATTAAGATTATAAGAAAAATACCTATATACTATATTATAGAAGAGGTAATTACNAAATGTATACATTTGTAATTTTTTGCTTTTGTTGGCTTTGCGTTAATACGTTTGATATTTACGAAATAAAATTTTATTTTATTATTATTAATTATTTTAATAAAAAAAATAAAATTAATAAATTAACTAAAATTATTATTTTTTTATACGATGTCGATCATTTATTGATTTATAACTTTTAAGTTACTAACTTCAGAATTTAAATAATTTGTACAAATTAAGAAGCTGCAATATGGTGATTTCATTGATTATAAATACTATAGATAGCTCACTGCAGTACATAATACGCTGCGCCGTAATTACTCCCAATAGAGGGCGCTAAGGAATTCGGCCTATAAAATAAAATAATTATTTCTAATCGCCGTAATCGTCGCCACGGACAACTGTTGTCGTGCGTCGTCGTCAAACATCGTCGGCGGCGGCGTCGCAGACCGCAGTAGCTAGTAGTTCAGCGATTGCATTCACAGACGTCGTCGCCGCTGGCGGCTAGGAATCAGAATACAAACCGTTCAGCGATGAGTTCAGACCAGCTAATTTCGCTCGAAATTTGCTCACATAAAAAGCTTTTATCTGAAATTCGATTACCTACTCGCTTGTGAACATTTAAACTACTTTTGAAATACGTCGAAACTAATGACACAAAAGTAATAACAAAATGAATAAACTAGAAGGATTTCTTAAACCATGACTAAAATATTTTCATCAACATATTCAAAAAACAAGTGTTTAAAAAATAAAAAAACTAATTAGACTCATTCAAATGTTTTTTTATTTTACGACTAATGCAATTTGTACACTGGAAATAATAAATACATCATTACCCCCCTGCAAAATAAATAATTTTTTTTACTGTTATTGACTTATATTACCACTGTGACACCGTACTTACGCCTGTGACCAGTGACTAAGCCTATTTTACAATTTATTGTTTTATTAAAATTTAACTTCTAATAAAATTCAAGCAAAAATATTATATTTTTTTCATAATAAAAATACAAGGAGAATTGTAAATTAACAAAACAATTGAGTTTATCTTCAACTTTATTTACCTATTATTTCAAATTTGTTTATGTAACAATATTATAATAAATTACTTATTTTGTACACTGCATACATAACAAAACATTAATTACAAAATTATAATTTACCTATTTATTTATTTATTTTCAAATATTCGCAATTTGGCTGCATTTTGATAACTTCGCTTTCCAAGGTTTGCATTAATCCACTTACATTCCTTATAAATGCGTGTCCTAAACAGCAGCTGTAAAATAAATTCATAGTGATCTTTACACGAATTTTGTAAAACCAAAAAATGATTATTTATTTGTCTTTCGGCTTTATGCAAAAGTTGTTTTAAAATTTGCTTTGAGCTCTTAATTTTAGGAAATGTATTTTTAAATATATTTAAACATATTGTCACTATTTGTGTT